GCTGAAACGTTTTTTGTAAACATAAAGTTTTTACTGCAACACAAATCAAGTAAGTTGCACACTTTTACACACATGAGAAGAGATGCATCCGAAACATGCTTGTTTAAAGAGATCAGAAGACTGAATTTTATCAACGTCATCACGAGACAGAGCTATATCGCCTGCTTGTTCTACACTAAAAAACGATCCCACAGCAAGGAGATTAACCTCTGAGTTATAAAAAAGTGTTATCTGTAAATGTATGTATATGAAGGGAATAGTGGACAGTGCCGGTGAACATCACTTGAAGTTGATAACTCCGATGATAGTTAGATATAAGCTCTGACTTGAAAACTAGTAGTAAACAGCCTTCAAAATGCTAATGCACTTCATTGATACACTCTTCAATGGTAAGCATGGGCACCGTTCATTTCCATTGAAATTGTAAAAAAACTCATTGGATTGCGTAAATTATGCGCAAAAATAGACAAAACATTTAAATAATTATCCATTAGGTTCATTGATCAACATAACATATTATTAACTTCTGTTAATATCTAATTTCCAATGAATATCATACGCTTTACTTCACAAGAATTCGACTCACATCATTTGAGAAACGAGTTTTTCAATAATTACTGATTCAAATTTTCAAATTGTGTGGGTATAGTTAGACCAGGGACTTTAAGGCCTAGATCCTATATGCCTGGTTCACAAGGATGCAATTACCATTTCTACAAATATCCAGGATTTTCCCTTGTATTATCGTCGGTTGTGAATGAACCTTATTTTTTAAGTAGTTGTGGGTTGTATAAAAAGTCACTGTGGCTATAATGCACGTTCAGTTGAAGGCTATTTTGGTTGCTTCTATTTACTGATCGATTTGGACAGCTAGGGACAGGTCATAACAATCAGCTCTGTTGTATATGAGTGCACGTCAAAAAGGAAAGTAGATCAAACAGGTTACTGTGACGACCACTAAATTACTTTTGTGTAGTACCTAAACACAATACCTTAATTATGTAATCTTAAGTCCATAATGCTGGATTGTCATTACTTATAGTCAGGGGTACAGACAAGAGAATTAAGACTTCACATTCAAATTATTTGAAAGTCAGGCATATCGTTTTATTGAAATCATTATTATCAACGTGTCAAAACTTGAAATTTATCCACAAAATCAAACTCCAGTGAGACTAAAAATTTCTACACAAAGTGATCATATTAATTTATTAGTCTACATAAACAATATGAGACCACCCTATGTCGGTATGAAAATAAAAAATAACCGATACGGAACAAGATGATAAGGCAAGAAAGTGTTGTATTTGAAGTAAATTAAATGAATGGTAACTTCTGAGAATTATTTATAGACTGTTATTATGCATATTCATATTGTATAACTATTAGGTAACTAGATTATATATGTGTATGCTACTTATGCTGACAGATAAAAGTAGTATGTAGCACCAGTCGGAAGTGAAATGCCTGGCAGAAGATTGAAATGAAGAGAATAGGAAGGAAATAAGAGAGCAGTCGAAATTGTTATTAGTATTGTAGTTGAAGGTTTGGAAAGTATGGAATGAATTCAGTAAACGAGCCTCCTCAGTCTTACTGTATTGGTTATGGTAAACAAACTCCTCCCCTTGAAATACAAATCCCCATGAGATACATTTGATTTAACAGCTTTGAAATTGGAGGATCTTACATTATGGAGTATAGTGATTGATCAATTGGTGATCTATACCGATGGGATGTACGAGTTCTCCTTGCAAATAAGATCATGAAGTGTCTCAAAGCTTTGTTTATTAGACAGTACATCACCTGTGGTAACTATTACCGTGCAAGATTAGTCAAAGTATGTTAGTAAAAGATATTATCTTGTGATTTCTCAGCATCATCACTTTGGTGAATAAAAATTAATAACAGTATTCTGCTCCATTTCAAATAGTTTTGGCTTTTTCGAAATTTAGAAGGAAATAAGTAAGATTTGAATTGAAAGAATAGATAAACCACCAGAATGTTTTTCGTTTGTACTCCAGCCAATAGCTTTATCCATAAAGCTTATGTCTTTATAAAGGTATTTAAGTCTAACTATATATCTCTGAGCTGATTGCGACAATCATTATTAACGGAGTATAGGTTATCAATAATGCACATTAGTGACCAAGTAATAGGTGGTTTATGATACTAACACTACGGTCAGACCAAAGTAGATGAAGCGTTTTAACTTAAGAACAAATTGTTTAGGATCGAATAACTACATAACTCAAAAACAGCTCCATGTACATTAAAGGGTTGTTGGAGCATGTAAGAGATAGATAAAAAAAAACTGCAGATTGTGGCTGAGTAACTGAAGTACACAAGTTTAAACCCGCAGGCGGGAGTCTAGAGCACCCCACTTATTTTCATTTGGGCAGTCAGGTAAAATTAACTCTCAAATAAAGGTTCCCAAAGCTAAGTACATCGATCCATTTTCCTCGATGAGGGTGACTGGCACTACTTTGCTGTCCGCACCTTAAAAGAATAGTTTTTTTGGACCTGGAAGAGTGATTTCAATGTATGAGGCATAGCGATGGCACTATAAATGTCCCAGGTTGGCATACGCCGTTATGGCTCACCATACATGGAGTAATCTCATAGCTCACACAACCACTCAGATACATAAACGTTTCGGCTACTTCTAATGGCTCATCACTAAGAATGAGAATGCTCCTGTCAGTCTTATACAAGTACTTAGCATTTAGAAGGTGAAAAATACATATCATACTCATGGACACTGATTTTCAACTGAATAAGTACATATTGCATAGCTTAAGTATCATCACACAGTAAGGTAATATTTTCCACATACGCAAAGTCGAAAAGTCTTTCCCAGTGTAACAGATCCACACCGCCACTACCTGATCCTATTAAAGCTATTTTCAAAATTTCATCGATTACAAAGTTGAGTAGAGGTTCTTTTTAGACTACCTCCTCATTACATGAACCAGTCTTTACCGTTCATGGAGTACAGGACAGTCAGATCGATGTTATTGTATGAGCAGATCAGTTGAAATGTTCATCGAATAACTCTATTATACGTCTACGATGTTGCTGATTGGTGCCCTATCAGCTTCACAGTTTGTTTCACATACCAAACTTCTTTTGCGAGTGGCTCGAATCAGTTGAAAGAGTCTAAGGGAGTTACCGGGTGTAGCTGATGTTTCTATCTTGCTAGCACGCCCTGATCGCTAGACTTCCTGGTCCTTACACAAGCTCTTCATAATATCTTTACTTAAGAAATAATCGCAGTTACCCGAGACAGACCATCATACCTCAAGAGTTGGAAGGATTACAGACTTCCATTGCTTATTAGCCGGACGTCTCGAAAAGCTTTAAGAGACAAAACCTTCCATTTTTACAGCATCAGCCGAACGTATCCAGTACTCATCTACATATGTTGATGTACTGACTACATGACATCAACTAAATTTAGTTTGATATTTGATTGTAATAGAAACTACAGCCTCATTAGTCATTTTATTCAGTCTGGGATGAGACGTCCGCTGGCCACTAAAATGTAAGATTAGCTTGGCACAAAGCAAATCACGTTCACAGTTCGGATGAATACTCTGAATGGAACGGCAGTATCATTCCCAAAAACGTCAGCGGGGTGTTCATCCAAAGGGGCGCATATTTCTAAAGGCGAGCATTGAAGGGGTGAATAACATTTTTAATGGTGTGAAATATATTCGATCTACCTTCTGTAGTGAAAGACTTCCCTGAAGCGATCATGGTGACAAATCACGAGAAATAAAAAAAACATCAAGACAAAGTGTTATTAAGCGATTGATTGTGTGAAAACTTAGGTATTAAAGTCGTGGTTTGATGACACCTCGGCGCGAGGCTATGCATACATGACTCAGGTTTGAAGTGATGGATGGAAACAAGGCCATAAAGCTACATTAGATGCAGACCTATGGAAACCAGTAACCAACAGATTCCGACACCATTCGTTTGCTCAGGAGCCTGGAGCTAATGCATACCACTGGAGTTACAGTCTTCTAACTCCTCTAGGTGAATACTCCGTATCTACTAACTCGGTCTAAGCGCCAGCAATCCGCGTCCCATCTTCTTGTTTTACTGTACTACGGCCACGCCGCGAGAATGCAATGAGTAGGATTCCCTTGACAGAGGTTACAAACGCGTAACCCTATGAGCATATCTACAAAGGAAGATGGCTCTCTGAACTCTCTGCTGTACCAAACCATTTGGGATGGGGGTAAGATGGTAGACATAAAAATATAACAAGTTTGTATTGGTGTATATTTAATACGTGGACTAAAACCCTCTGAAAACTATTGCGAATTAGACGAACGCGAAAATGAAGGATGGTTCAGAATCGCTGTTACTATCTGGCTGTGCATTTCCCACAAAGGGACAGCAAAAATCGCTTTTGGGAAAGTTCAAAAGATTATAAGCAATGTAGGAAACAGAAAAGATAGATTTAACAGGTAAACATTACAATTACTTGAAAAAATACTGATTTGTTCAGTTTACAGGAGTGAATAAACCATCGAGAACCCCGGGGTCACAATATTAGTAAAAACTTTTAGACACATTGCTTAGTTCGAGATCGATTAACTTGACAGGTGAGAAATATGGTGATAAGCATATTAACAGACTTTTATTATGTGAAAAAGCATGTAAATTACCTAGAAATTTCTCTGTCTTTGAATTTACTTTTGAGTTAGTAATCAAGCGGCCTGAACACTCAGAGGAAGACTCATTCGCTGATATTTGGAGCTCCAAAAGGTTCGATTCATGACAGTAGGCAATAAATGCGGTTAGCAGGACAAGAAAATCCGATAATGCTCTGGGTTCTCCAACCATAAGGTCTTCTGGTACAATGTGATCCAAGTCCACTCCTATTTCTTCAGACAATTTGAACACAATAGCCTCGAAGTTTTCTACACATTCGGTCTCAGCGCGACCACGACGAGGCACTAATAATCATAAGAAATTTGTTGGCAACTTACAAATATCGCTACCAAATAAGACAACTGCTAAGTCAAAGACGAAATCAGGAGTAATTTCATGAATACTCTGAATGTAAGGTTCGACGTTAATTAAGGATAGAGCGTTGTTGGCAAGCTGAGTCAAATCTACTAAATAACATTGGAAGATTATTCAAACAGGTATAAAGCATGCCTGATCCACAGTTACAATGTTTTAACCAATCAAACGTCATTACAGCTTAAAGGACTGACACAAGACAAGCGCGGCGCCTACTCACAAGGACGGGAATCGAGAAGAAGAAAAACAAAGTATTATATAATCTACAAATTGAAATGAGTACGTTGAAACTATAAGATTCCATCATTTTGCCTTCGAAAGAAAAGTAATGGATCGCTTTTCAAGCTCTATCCATGTTAACTAATTTCATCGGTCTCAACCGAAGCAGATGATCTCACTTTTGCTTCATTTTCTGCGTTTAAATGATCTGAGTATCGATAATCTGTATTAATCCGATCGTTTGAGATCCTTCGGGAGAACTTATCTGGCCTTGAGCACAATGACAGATAGGCTTCGATTAAGTATCAGTTTCAGAAGTTCATTTGTTTTATAGTAGTTTAGATTTACATTCAATGAAGAAAATGGAGAACAGGCGGTTCCCTCTGGACTTCTGTGTGTCACGTTATGAATGATTTAGACTTCTTTCCTACAATTACTGCAGACCGTGACTGCAAGTTTGAACCATTGCGTTCCCACCCTCTTTGGAATTACATAATTTCGAACGACCTCTTAGTAATTAGTAACTTCGTTCACTCAGGATTATCAATGCAGTGAATGCCAGAGTTGAATATAAGTGAGAGCAACTCCTTTACAGTCTGACATTTCGAACTCTAGAGGAGTTTGTAAATCTTTCACCTTATTCGAAGAATGTAGACTCAAACTTCTATGTGAACCGTCGTGCGAAAGTGATGTGTCCAGTAAACCTCTCTCCTACCTGACTACTGTCAATCGCAGCTTCAATCCTGCCGGTCTCACGAGTTGGTACAAAGTTTTTCATGCATCGATACAGCATAAAAAGTGTTATATGAATTTCTTTTGAACTCAAAACCGTACCATCGTTAAAAATGGAACTAAAAATAACATCGCCGGTGACTGATCAAAAGCCGCTTCCTTAAAATGGATCCATTTGCCCTCCAACTTTGGTGAATAAACGGACGACTCATTCCCCAAAATGAAGATGAATCTTCGATTTTCGATAACCATACTGGTCTAAAACAAAGCTTTCTAGAAGAATTTTTAGGTTCCCAGAACACTCAAACTGTTACTGTGTGTGGGTTACTTTCACGTCAGATGTCTATTTCTCAGGTTTTCTGTGTTATACATCTCGCTGGTTGCACTATAAATGTTCGTGTCGAAGACAATAAGACCCAGGCACAAAATTTGAACGTGGCAACACTTTTTCACGTGACATATAAATATTCCAAGTTGTTCTTGTGTAGGATGCATTATACTGAGATTACCACCCTATTTTGAAGGTTGGGTACATTTTACCCCGGGTAAATAATTTTGTCGGACACTTAATGGTTAATGCATACCCAAGTGTTTAATAGCTTATCTCACACATACGAAGGAACTTAAATTCATCTCACAGAGACAACAAAACTCTACAGTTCTGACAAAAATGGGTAGGTAGACGTAATTCACGATTCAGAATAGGGAAACACGTAAGCTTGGTCTCAAATGTTTTGTGGGTATTCCAACAACAATGAACAGGTTCTCCTCGCTGCTATTATAAGTGCCGTAATAGTAGGTTTCTCAGCCAACACACTATCTCCATTCCCCAGGATTCCAATTGCAATAACTGCCAAAAAATTTTCATCATCCTTTAGCATCAACCCACCACACAATAAAGGTGTACAGTAACTGTTATAACGACTTCTAATTACGTGCAGTAGATCCTTCTCACTTTCACATTGACGCAAGTAGCTATAACAGAATCTACGAGCTTAACTATTAAAAGTATTTCGCAAACAACAGTACACTTTACATTCAACCTATACCAGATTTTTTTAGAAGACCGCCCTTAGTGACACCTCTGTTGAATCATATAGCTGAGGCCATTTCAGATAACATTACTTACTAACTTACTTATGCCTGTTACTCCTAATGGAGCATAGGCCGCCGACCGGCATTCTCCAAACCACTCTGTCCTGGGCCTTCTTTTCTAGTTCCATCCAATTCTCGTTCATTTTTCTCATGTCTATTTCCATTTTCCGGCGTAATGCGTTCTTTGGTCTTCCTCTTTTCCCCCACCTGGAGTTCCTTCGGGGGATACTACCGGTCCCAAGCCCGGATAAAGGGGGAGGGTTGGGCATGGAGTTAGCGTTCCCATCCCGTAGAAAACTAACTCGCTAAAAAACGTTAACCAGAAAAAATTATTCAAACCTTTTTCAGATAACATACGGAACATTAACTTGTTTCTCCCGTTCAGTTTTGATTACAGAGTATTCTCACTCTTTCTTCCCGAGTAAACTCTCCAAGCAACTGCACTAGCTCATTTGATATAACTGCCTCTAACTCTAGCTACCAAAATAACGATCTCTTGAAGGACAATCAACCTCTCACAGCAGAGGTTAAGCTTAGGTATAAAACCCTCCCTTGATTATTGCTATTTTATCTCCTCAAACATGAATACTACAAATAAGATAAAAGTAGATTTTTAAAGAATTTTCACACACTGACTGCTAAGATGTTACTTTACTCTGGACTACACAGATAAATGTAATCACCTCTCCTTAGAAGCGTTGAGGCACCTTCGGCTAAGGAACAATGTAATATTTCATTACAGAGCAATACATGAACAGTCTTTCTAACATTCTGCCCAACCATAACCCATTACCTAGTGTAGAGACTCAGAAACAAGGCATATTCACTGTATACTGTGCAGCACCGAAAACCAATGCGTTGTTGGTTTTTTACAGTGCGATATACCTTATTGTGTAACAGGTCTCCAATAATTATCCGCAACTGTGACACTATCACCAAGTTCAAAAGATTAAAACCCTGTTACGTGACTCTAAAGAGCCTTAATAACTATTCTCACACACCAGTGAGTAATTTTATTATGGACAACCTAATATCTAGACAGATCATGAATATAATGGATCCCATTGTCATGAATATGAATATGACCAGACGGTAGAACACATGGTCTACATTCTCCTATTATTCTTTGTCTATTAGGCATGCTCTTATGCTCCTGCTTCTCACTGTCAGAATTATAATCCCTCTAATGGTTAAAACTGTATTACTCCTCCTAGCAGAGATAGTGTATTTCAACAGTATTTGTAACATGGAGCTTAGATTAAAGCAATATTCATTTATACCACAAAAATATGAAGGCCTAACAATACAAAAATAGGGAGGGTGGCGTAACTGACCAGTAAGCATGATAGTGGGGGGATAACTTCAATTCACTCATGTCTATAGGGTAGAAAATGTTGTTAAATTACGGCTACTTATGGTCAAATGGGATGCTATGAACTAATGGCAACGATGCCAAGTATTATGCCAAAAACCTCTTCGTTTCAATTCTGTGACTCGGAATCGGTTTCACTTCCTACAGAGAAATTCTATTGGAAGCGAAACAAGACCATTCGCTAAAAATGAATCCTGCCCATGACCCTATAAAATCAGTAAAATAAAAATGTGCTGAAACAGCTTCGACAAAAATGGGAGATAGACATTTGTGCATCGGAATACCTTTTTCAGTGCTATATTTTAAAACTATTTATATTCATATACTGTCAGCTTCTTTTAAACTACCTCCAATTGTACAGTTCTCTGTCCATTAACGCCATACTTCCGCTTGTTTTCTTTAACCTATTATAATGCTCTTGCTTAAAAAGTACTTGAATAAAAGAGAGTTAGACTAAATACTCATACCTTAACTATTCCTTCGCAAAGGACTGGACTTCAGTAAGCATGAATATTGTCTGCTCTACTTTTTGTCATTTTTTTCTTACCCTCCTTTTCAGTCCCCTCGAGATATGCTACCGAAAACATGTATGGAACGGGTGACTTCGTCCTGTGTCATCATTAATGCCTCCGATGTTCTGTAGGGATATAAGGTCACGGTTTTTAGAAGCTCTCAACTTTACGTGAATTTATTCTCGATTATCAGTTGCACGTCGCAACATATTGAAAATACGAGTCTTACTAACATGATTTACACTCATATGTGAAATTTTATTCCCCATAATTCTATGACCGTTGTACCTTATAAAATATCAACATGAGTAGCCCTTTACACAACTCTTACCTTAGCTAATCCTATGAGTATTCATGGAACTACCAATTGCGATTTATACTCTAACCTGCTTCACTATGATGACTCTGAGTTTCTTATTCTTTCGTTCAATGCCCGCTCTCTGTCTAATAAAATTATTCATCTTAAAACTCTTTTATTCCTTGTTAATCCAACCATTGTACTTATTACGGAAACGTGGTGTAATTCATCTATATCCGATCATTCCTTGAATGTAGATAACTACGTTTTCTTTAGAACCGATAGATGTTATGGAATAGGAGGCGGTACAATTATCTATGTCCGTTCAGACATTCAAGCGTGCAAATTTGAGGATAAATCCCTTGATGCTATAGACGACTCCACTTGGGTTACTGTAAACTGTGGATCCCAAAATTATTTACTTGTGGGATGCATATATAGACCACCTCATGCGGATACTAAGTTTGACAAATTACTAACAAACATATTTTCCATTGCTTCGCACCAACCGCATAATTTTAAAATCATCGGAGGCGATTTTAACCTGCCAAAAATTAAATGGGGCTTGACTCCGGTACCAGGTCGATATAACAAGCTAGTTGAAACATTAGAAATTTGTGGATGGGTTCAACAGGTCCGAAAACCAACCAGGGGGAATAATACACTTGATTTAATGTTCACAATCAACATAGACTCTATCTCAGTGCATACCAGCCATGCGATTTATATGAGTGACCATAGAGTTGTATTGAGTATTATTCACTCTTTAAACACCATAAAACTCAACTCTAAAGCTTCAGTGATGTATCAGAGCAGACATTTTGATCAACAAACATGGAAACGGACTGAAACTTTCATTCAATGTTTACCATGGGAAACTTATTTTACCACAAATAATGTTGGCATTGCGCTTTCCAATCTATACCACAACCTGATATATTGTCTTG